CATTTGAAATGGCAAGTCCGTCTTCTCGATAAAGTCTATTGTAATGTATTGTAATTGAGAAAGGAGGGAGCTTCCTACGATTCTTCTTTCTCCATCAATGGCTAATTTGTATTCTAAAGTGTACCCCATTTCATCTAGTTCTGATTTAACTTCCCTTAAACAGCATGATGCCATTAAAATTTGCATGGAATTACCCTTGTATCCAAATGATGAGATTTGTGAAATATTTTGATTTCTGCACATATAGTTTTATCATGACTATAAGGGACTTCCTATTTCAAAGATGATTTTCATCGTTATAAAATTTGTCCCACATCCAAATTTGGATATATTATAGGGAATATAAACTTATGTGAAATAACAAAGCTTAAAAATATCCTTCCATGTAGTTTTTTAGATATAAACCTATATTTTCTAGACAACCACAATTCGCTCTTAGTTTACATTTAATTATATTATGCGCAAATGTGTCAGGGTAATTTAGCGATGATTTTCGATACTTTAGAACTTTATGCCACCTCCAGATTTTGGATATATCATAGAAAATATGAAAAACTATAATGTGTATCAAAGTTTAAAAAAATTCTTCCGTATACTTTTTGAATTATAAACATTTTTGTGTGAAATGACCGAAATCGCTCTTTATGCATATTTCATTTTATTATGACTGTAAGAGCCTTCCTATTTCGAATATGTTTTTTTCATAGTTTTAAAATTTGTGTCACCTCCAGATTTTCGGTATATCATAGAAAATATAAACAACTATATTATATATCCAAGTTTAAAAAAATTCTTGTAGGTAGTATTTTAACTATAGACATTTTTGTGTGAAATGAGAGGAAATCGCTCTTTATGCATATATAAGTATATTACGTGTATTTGTGTCACCGCACTTTAACTATGATTTTCATTTATTTAGAAATTTGTCCCACCTCAATATTTTTTGATATATTTGGGAAAATATCAAATGTTATACTCTAAGAAAATTTAAAAAATTCCACTTTGTTGTTTCTGAAATATAGGCCAAAATAAAGTGCATTAAAGCAAGGTGATACATCAAAGCTTAGTTTATTTATGAATTTCGTGACTCCCATTCTTTACATGTGATGTTTTAGGACAAAAATATTGTCGTACACCTTTAAGAAATGTTTTTAGTGTTTTATTTCATAGAAAACGTGAATTAAAAACAAGTTTTAGAGTTGTCATTTTGAATAATGAGATTTAGTCGAATGTGGTGTTGATTGCTTTGCTGATTGTTGTGTTGAGTGTTGTGCCCAATGTGGTTCCAATTTCAAAGCAGTTACCCGGCAGCCAGGAAGGATTATTAAAATACTTGATGATCGGCACCCGGGAAAATTGGAAATATACGCTGCCTTCGATACCCAGGAGTCAAAGTTCTAGATATACCTTCGTAACTTATTATAAAAATATAATAAAGCCATGGTTTATGATTTGCGTCACGGGATTTTTTGCTTTCACGGTTATCGTTCCGACATCTCTATTTACGAATTAAAAGTCAAGTATTGGGCTGAAATGTTATTTGTCATGTTTGGTTACTCAAGCAAAGCTACAAGTCACCAATGAAACATTATAAAGAGTAAGTTTGTCAATTACAGTATATTACTGCACTGTGATTTGACTGATTTTATAAACAATTTTTTATCTTCATCCCATATAGTGCATTGTTATTCTTAATGTCGTTAGTCCTTGATTTTCGTATAATTTCTCTTAGAGCCTGGATCCTTTTTTTATTTGAACAACTATGTTATTTGGATTCAATTCAAAAACATTCTACGATAGTTATTAGATTAAGGCTTATGTGTGACAGAACACACATGGTACGTATATAAGTGGTACTTTTTGAAAGGGGCGGATCTAGGATTTTTCAAACATTAGTCATAAAACGTCGGAAGCGCTACGGACCTGGGGGGTCTGAGGCATTCTTCCCTGAGAAATTTTGAAATTAAGAGCCTTGAAGATGCTCGTATACTTCTTTTGATAGCTCGTGGTTATGGTTTTCCTTTATACGGACTACCTCCAATGGTTGACCATCAGACGAAGGTGTGAGATAAATTTCAAATAGGCAACCTTGACGAACTGTTTTTTTGTGATTCTAAATCTGTCTGCTTTCTTCCATGGCTCTCCCCCAAACTTACAAGACAATAATATTAAATAGTACTGCAAAAAAAGGATTTGCCTTTTCACTCGTTTTGGAGTGCGCTTTTTTTGCCGCCTTTGATGATCTTAAGGCGGATCTCCACTAGACGATTTTTGTGACGATCGTCTTAAAAATTCGCTGCACCACATGCGCAGTAGGAAATAAAAATCGTCAACTAAATCGTCAAGCGCTCGACGAAAAGTAGAAACGGTTTCTACTTTTCGTCGAGCGCTTGACGATCGTCGTAAATTGAACCAATGAAATTTCATGCCGTGAAACTAATTACCATTTCTCTAAAGTCAAAATGGCTGCCACCAGTGGAGAAAACGAATTCCAACTGAACGGTACAAATCCTGTAGAAAATATACCGTCAGAGATTCAAATACTTGCATCTCCGAGGAATATCTCAGTGGTGCAACATTTTGTTGATCAAAATGTGGTACAAGATGTTGGAGAGCTCGATAAGGAAATGTTTTTGCAAGCTCTCCGAGACTATAGTTGCTTGTGGGATACAAGCAATATAAACTACAAAAATAGGACCATAAAACTTAATGCATGGAAATCTTTGTGTCGAATGTTCCAGCGAGAAGGTAAGTGTTCTAAATTAATGGAGGACTTCAAGAAACTTGAGAATTTCACTTATGTGTTGTTTGGTTATTGTGATGTAACATGTTAAACATGCTAAAGTGGACAGGAAAACTTCTCGACGTTTCTGCATAAGGGTGTTCGTCTCACCATTTCGTTTGACTGTGCTCCTTGACTATATGTGTTATTTCGTATTTTATGTCAACTCTAACAAAATTTGTTTCTTGCCCTTTTTTCAGTTCCATACCTTCAGAAAATTTTTAAGAACCTTAACGATTCTCTAAAAAAATGCCTTGATAGGAGACGAGCATTGTCTAAATCTGGGGCAGCTGCTTTGACACTTCCAACATGCAAATATTTTGAGGTTATGAGCTTTCTTCATGAGAAAACAAGCAATTTGGAAACTCGCAGCAATGTGGATCTTGAAATCCAAACAATACCAGAGAACATATTGGACATATCCTCATCACAATCTCCAGGACCTAGTCAGCCTTCTTCAAGCTGTTCAAGCGTATCAGATGAGGCAAAATATGGTAAAAGAAAACGTCCTAATTCTAACGATCAACTAGACCCATTTCTTGACCATGTGAAGAGTATGGACCAGAAAATGGTAAATTATTTAGAAGGAATGTCAAGTAAAAGAGAAAATGAAGATAAGGATGAAGCAGAGTTATTTTGTATGAGTCTTGTTCCAGTTTTAAGAGATATGGAAAAAAAGCAACTCAGACAAGCTAAATTAAAAATTCAACAGCTTTTGTATGATTTACAATATTCAGATACCTAATGAAAATTGTTGTAGAACTTCACATATTGCATTATAAATTAATAACAAACTCTCACTTATACAAGATACATTCCTTCCAATGAATACAGATATATAGCAAGTGAAATCATTTATTTTTAAAATTACAGCTTAAACATGTATTGCTAACTACATAAGTGAAAAACCCCTTTCGTATGAAAATCCATCACATCACTAATGCTCATATTGAATATAAATGGCTTTAAATTCGTTTTTTATTTTGAACACCTTACTATATGCCACTGCCAGTCAACTGCTCCTTCATTATTAAAATAATCAGCAAATTGTTCACGAACCCACTTAGCTTCTGCACCATAGTTATTTGATGCACCAACATCTGTAATGTCACCCAATCCATTCATACAATTTGCATCTTGTCGCCACTCACCAGGTTTAAACTCATTACCCATTTGCCCATCTTGATCAGCAAATGATGGTGGACAGTATAGATTTGAATCGTCATCTTCATTTATGCTCATAAGGAAGTTATGCAATGCCACAACAGCTTTAGTTATGGCAATCACATTATCAACTTTGGCAACTATAGGCCTATGAAACACACGAAACCGACTAGCACAAATACCAAAAGCATTTTCAATGACACGTCTGGCTCTGCTTAGCCTGTAATTGAAAATTAGTTTCCTCTCAGACAGGTTTGAAAAAGGATAGGGCTTCATCATGTGGCGTTTTAGGCCAAATGCATCATCCCCTACAAATACGTGGGGTAATACTTTCGTTGAATGGGTAATCTTGCCATCTGTGGGCATGTTGAGAAGCTTGTTTTCAATAGCATAGCCAAGATTGCTGTTGGCATACACGCTGCCATCACTTTGCCGCCCACTATCACCAATATCAACCAGTGTGAATTTATAATTTGCATCACTAACTCCCAACAAAACAATGCTATGAGTCTTTTTGTATTTAAAAAAACTCAATGCCTGTCCAGCAGGAGCAAACATCTGCACATGCTTTCCATCAATTGCTCCCAGCATATTAGGAAAGTTCCATCGATCTTCAAAATCTTTAGATACTTTTTTCCAGTCACTTTCAGTGCAAGGTGTTTTCATGAAACCCATTTCCTTTAGTTTGTCCCAAAGTGCGTTGCATGTTTCGTAGATAATTCGACCAACAGTCGTTGAGCTCATTCTATAATTGGCAGCGATAGTTGTATGAGCATCCCCAGTTGCCAAATATCGCAGAGTGACTAAAGTCTTTGATCTACACTTATTAGTTCTCGCATTTTCGTCTCTTTCTTTCTTATCATCGGGGCAATATACCCCAACAAGGTCTCAAAGTGTCAGGTAACATCCTGAAATATCTGAAAAGCATTTCATGATCGAATAATCGCAAGTCTTTAACCAGCAAATTGTACTCGCCTTTCTCATTTCTTTCCTCGTACAGTTTATGCATCCAAAATCTTGGTCGTTTTCGCTTTGTTTTCATGGATCTTACTCTACATGCATGAAGTAAAATCAAATGCCTTCGAAGAAGTAAATAATGCATTAAAGTTTGATTCACATCCGCCATTTTCTCAATTTCACATTGCAATTTGCAATCGTCTTTGACGATTTTGTTGACGATTTTATTTCCTACTGCGCATGTGGCGCAGCGAATTTTTAAGACGATCGTCATAAAAATCGTCTAGTGGAGATCTGCCCTAACGTCTTTCTTTCACAGCTCACAAAAATAATGATCTTTGAATTCTTTTTTGATTTCATATAACTGATCTAAACTTGTTATTCCTCGCACTGTGTAAAAAAGATTTTTTTAGTTTTCTCTAATTTTTGGGTGATTGTGGGCTTTTTTGTCCCACAACGTTTAATGTTCTTATCTTTTTTGAGAGGATTATAGTAGTCATTTACTTCGTCGCTATACGATTGCCGTCGAGTTTTGTTTATTGCCGTGACACTTGTGGGCATTAGCACATTTGTCATTCGCGACAGAGTAGTCGAATATCAAACGCGTTAAACAATTTCACGGCGTTTAAGCAATGGTCATCGAATATCGTGTTTTTAGTGATTATAACAATAAATATGTTTTGAAATATTTTGCGGACGACTTTGAAACTTGGTACATCTTATTTTCATGCTATGGACAGTGCAATAAAAGAAAGTTGTCTCCTAGCTTGTACGTGAGACTACACTTTTTTGAACAGGTTTAATGCCAGTGATTCTAGTGCAAAGTTTTTCGTTTGACGTCGTGCCACAGTTTTGGCTGAAACTTGAAGATATCTTCAACATTGCTTGTAAATTTAAAATCATTCGTTAACCTTAAAGTTGATCAAAAGGCAAGATTGTTTGCTTTTCTGCTTATTTTACAAAAGCGTGCAACAAATATTAGAACAGTGAGATAAATAAGCCATCGTCTTGTTCACGTTGTTGATGTCTTATACCAGTGTGCATGAAGTATATTCTGTTTACTTGAGCGTTGCATGTTTTCGATACGAATTGAGAAAGCGAGATGTCCCGGCAAGTCGGATTGAAAAGCATCGAATGAAAATTTTATTCCGTTAATAATTCTAATATGTATTGTTTCGTAAATCAATCTTTATGACAAACTTACAACGATAATTTTTAGATGATCAAAATACATATGCATATGTATATCATACATACTACAGTAGAAAACTCACAGTCAAGAGCAAACGGAAAGAGCGCTATATTTAAGGAGAAATTTAAGTAACAGATTGCATACGCAACTGAAAGTCGCTAACAAACAGAATCATAACGCGGTGTCCTGCGGTTCCTCGCCACATCTAGCCATGATTATCTTATTTATACTCTAAAGGCTATTTTCCAATATTGTTTTAACGCGACAAACGCGACAGCAATTAACTTTAATCGCGACAATCCCATATGAAAACGTGGTAATAATCGCAATAAACGGCGACTAACAACCGCAACAAACGCTATAAAATATCAAAAAATTTTGATATTTATTCCAGTTAATAAATAAAAATTTAGGAATTTAAGATGGCGAATCTAAAAACGTTGTTTTCTTTTCTTCGATGCCTTTTTACGGCGTCTCCGTCGCCTCTACAAAACATAAGCTACTGCAGCTACTACTAGATCGTGTACATGTTTTTTACCGACACCATTTTATAAAAAAAATCGCCATCCGACTTAATGGAGATACTTGTAATGGAGCAACCATTGCAAATAAAAATTGTCGCTATCGCTTTTATCGCGACAAACCAACAGTGGTAACCAGGCTTAATAACCCTAAAAAGTATTGCTGAATGTATCTCATGTCAAGATCCAATATAATGAAAAGAATTTACGTTAATTTTATACTCTTTCCAGCATCGGCTCTTTGAGGTACTCCCAAACACGGCTGCTTTGACCTAACACGCAAACACTCTATTGAATGTCCCCATATTCATATATTCCGTTCGTATGTTTTAATCCGTGTTAATCCATAATTTACGGTGGCTCACAAGGGACACCACACTAAATAATAATTATACAAAATAAAGATATTAATACATACACAAAATACATCACACACATACAAAATTAAAATACACACATAAAATACGTTATACACACACAAAACAAAAATGTACACACCAAATAAATATACACACAAAATATGATCGCGGGCGCTTGCAGTGTCGAATAGCTGACTACTGTCATTCTATTATAAGGTTGTAATCAGATATGTGTATATGTGATTTTAACATGTGGTCGACTAGTACTTGTCATCATATTTAATAGTTTTAACTGCAAAGTATTTTAAATAAAAGATGACAAGGAATGAAAAGCAAGCTCTTGCGATACCGAGTCGAAAATTCAATAAGAGAAACAATAAGCAATTATTGGATGAGGTTGAGCATGATATCAAGAATTATTCAGACCGAAGTCAGTGAAACAATGATATAAGACGAAGCGAAGCGGAGGCTGTTAATTGTTTAATGTTCATAGATACAAGTTTAAGTCATGCATAGATGGATTGTTAACTTTACGATTTTATAGAATTGGGTTTCGTTATTCGTTCATTGCTTTGACGGGTGGTGTTATGTTTATGACGGATGGATGACTAACTCTTTGGATTTATGAAATTTTATCATCCGATCAAAGGATTAAAGTATTTAAAGTAGCTATATTTTTGTCATAATTGGTATCTTCTTGTATATCTGTGCTTTGACATAAAAATTTTACGGTGTTTTAATTTGTACTGTTTAAGAATGTGTGCAATAAATGTAATAAAATTCAAGGACACAAATATAATTTAAAGATAAAAACTAAAGGAGTTGTCAAACCTTAAAAAAACTTTCACTCATATGAAAAAATATTTTGTTCTTCCATCTCTCGCGAAATCGTAGTTTTCCAACTCGAACTTAACTCGAGTAATAATGACTTAAATGTGTGTATTTTTGCTTCTTGTTCTATCGCTATTGTGTACATCCAAGCAAAGCCGCAATCCAGCAGCGGTTTTTCGTCGTACGTCAATGCGCGGTGATCATTGAAAACATTGTAAAAATATATAAGCAAAAGTAAAAATTACGCATAAGCCTATTCTTAGTTCCATTTTATTTTCTAAATTTTTAAATTATTCTGCGCAATGGATACGGATTACTTAAACAATTCCTCTAGTAGTCAGTCTGAAAGCAGTGTTTCAAACTACGAAGAAATGATTAACAATCAAAACATGATTCAACCATTTGCTTGTGCAGTGTTGCCAGATCGTGAGCAAAGATTATAGATTTGTGAACTTTTTGTTCTCTTTATGAACTTTCATGAGCATGAAAAATTTGTGAACTTTTTGTGAGCTTTTCGAAATTCTGTGTAGGATCTAATGAACTTTGTGTTGTCATTCTTTTAAGATAGAAAATAATAAGTACAATGGTTCAGTAAAAAAAAATAGTAAATTGTTTACTTCTTGTAACAAGTATTAATATTTTTGTTAAAAGTTAAACTTTTTACATATTACATAAATTATGTTAAATTTAGATGGAAAATTTGAAGAAGCTGAATTGCGCAAGGCCAGCTTTATCAGCAAGCATAACCTGTCCTTTAATGTAATGTATCACTTTAGTGATCTTCTGCCGCAATTTTGTCCTGATTCATAAATTGCATGCTGTTGGTTTTAAATGCAAACGCACTAAAGCTTATTGCTTTGCAAAAAATGCACCGTCGGCCAATTTTCATGAAGAACATGTACAAATTTTAAAAAAACACCAGTTTTACATACTTATCGATTGAAACTACTCATGTATCTACGTGCAAAGAAATAGCTATCGTTACCCGTCATCATAACAAGCAGTCTTTAACTGTGCAAAGCTATCTTTATGATCTTCTCGATGTCCCGCAAGCTGATGCAGAAACATTATATCAGACACTTGTAAATACCATACAAACAGCTAATGTAAGTTTTGACAATGTAATTGGTTTTGGAGCCAATATTTGTAACATCATGTTCGGAGAGCATAACAGTGTTGTCTCACACCTTAAAGAGAAGTTACTAAATGTTTTTTTCATGTTATGCATTTGTCACAGTGCTCATCTTTGCGCATCACACGCATGTGGAAACTTCCCCAGAGAGCTAAGGAGTTGGTGCGTGATGTATACAATTACTTCTCCAACAGCAACAAAAGTCGAGAGCAATTCAGAGTTGTCTAGCACTTCTGCGACGTAGTACCACACAACTTGTTGTGCCCATGTCGAAAAAGATGGCTTTCGATGCACTCCTGTGTGTCCAGGCTCATTAAGCAAATGGGATGCACTGATTATTTTCTTTAAAGCGGTGGCTGGTCACGAAAAGTTGCCAATCTCTGAGAACATTCTTTTGCTCTTGCAGAATCCTATGTAGAAGCTATATTTTAACTTTTTGGAGTTTGGGCTTCCCAAGTTCACGGAGCTAAATGTCATGTTCTACACTTCAAAATGTTGACGAAAACAACGAGAACTCGACTGACAGCAATTAAAAACGCTACATAGACTCTTAACAGCTAACTTCAGGCTTGAAAGTGAGCCGAGTATCGATGAATGAAGCCTTTACCAAAAGCATGTTATAGTTTATACAAGTTGAGCTCCCCTTCATTGGTTACTTTGGGAAAATATCTTTAGGCCTGATATCGCTTTGTTCCTCATATTTGTTTATTGTAACTTTAGCTCGTTAAATTTATTCAATTTGCTAATCAATGTGATTTGATAGAGCTATTTTGGATTTTAATTGATTATTTCTCGTTTTTGGTGATTTCGGGTCATGCTATGAGTATGCAGAACAATCTCAAAACCATTCTGGTAATTTTCGGCATTTTCCGACACATTCCGACATTAAAAATGTAGATAAATGAACTTTTAATTATTTTTGACAATTTGAAGACATAGACACTCCAGACTTTATTACAGATAATCCTAATTTTCGAAATCCTTGTTTAAATTATTGGGTATTACGACTGGCATGGAGTGAGTACAAAAAACACCATGATTCAAGAGCTGAGGATAGACCTGAACACTAAAGACAAAGACATGTGGCTTACAGGCAACTGGTTAGAGTACCACTACCATCTTGTGCTGTTAGCTGCTTGTCCTACCACCAGGTCTAAAAGAAGACTTTGTCCTTGAGGGTTTTAAATTAGCTGATGATTAATAATGGTAATGTAAATTATTATAGCCATATTTATAAGTATCGTTAATGATGAATCACTAATAAATAAAAATATCAATTGGATTTAGTAAATTAACAAATTATAATGATCATGCCAAACAAATTCTTTATTTGTGCTAATCAAGGATTTTGATGTATATAATTGAAAAGTGCCTTTCTAATGAATTTGCACAGCAAACATAAAATTTGGTTACTTTACTAGTAGAGATTCTCTTATTATTAATTATAAATTTTGATATATACATAACTATTTTTTGGGGACTATTTACCCGTTCTTGATTGGTGTGCATGTATAACACTTTCTTTGTTTGGCTTTTCTATAGATTCAATATTTCTTGGAATGTTTGCTGGTAAGGAAGTCTTGTTATGTACATTTTTTACATTAAAACAGAAGACATCTTCCATCATACCTTGCACAAAAGAATATGACATACTCGCCATAATTGGCTTGGCTAACCAATTTTTTCGCCCTTTTAGGAAAACGCTATTATATCACCTCTCTCCTTGCTGCTTTTCATATTTGAACTTGTGCTTATTTTCTTCCAGTGCTTACATTGTGGTAGATGACTGCCAACTTCGTTCTTGCAAGCATAAATTTGTACAAAAAGTGAACACGTTTCGGTAATTGTTTTAGGAGAAGTGAGTGGTAAACCTCAAGCTCCACATTGTGGTGTAATTCTGTTAGTTTTGTTAAGTTTTTTAATAGGTTTTTGTTGAGTACTATTTCTTCTAAAACAACACGAGCAGCAAGGCCATTTTCTAACCACTTTGTTATTCTTTGTTTTCTTTCAGAAAGACAGTCATGTGCCAAGTTTTTAAAGTATTTTTCCGCCTTCCACTTGTGCTTATTGGCAACATTCTTTAATATGTAAACCCATTATTCTTGCAACAAATCTGTATCTCCCTCTCAACATTGAGCGCACTACCACAGATGGTTGGATACAGACTGCACCCATTTGAGTAGGGGGTTCATGTTTCTGGACTTTTTTTTGACAACTTTCTTGTAACCCATTTTGAAAAAAACGCCATATAGCAAACTGGTGGATTTTGAAGGATATTTCTTCTTTAATGATCTTATGTTCCCATCTTGGTTGATGAGTTTGTTAATAGACTTTTGACAACCTTCCTATGATTTTTGTTGCATGATGCTCTTAGTTTTACGATGCTGCCAATTGTAGATGTTTCAATGTCACAAGAAGAACAACATGTTTTGAAAATGATAAACAACTGATCAAGCATACTTTCAAACACAATAATTTTTTTCTCATTGCTTAGTGTCCCTTCAGTGTCACTTAAGTCAGATTCATCATCAGTGCAAGTTTCTTGGCGTACACAGTCCTCATAACTTCCTGCTGACACACAACTGTCTGAAGGTGTTTTATCATTGTTAATTTTGTTGAATGATTCCTCTTCTTCTTCCATTACTTCATTTTGGGCCATTATTTTTTTACACTTTAATTGACTACCTTTGTTTACATTTTTCAATTTCAAAGGGGGAGGGCCTTTATTATTTTTGGATCGTTTTGTGCCTTTTCTTTTTCTTTTCCGTTGTGCAAGGGTTAAAACAGCAATGCTTTGTTTTGATATCATATCACATTGGACTTTAGCATCGACGAAAATTTGTTGGTCGCATTGTGTTTCGAGACATCGGAAAATTGTAACATCATCATCAGTCGTATCCTCCATATGCTCAATATTGGAGGACTCTCTAGGCTCATTATGAACACTGTTCAAAAAAGCTCCACACTTTGACTATAGAATAAATATTAAAACATCTATGTATATAATGGAAGGACAACGGTGTTTAAATTTTGTGAATTACAAATTACAGTACTTGTTGTCGTGCATTTTTCCTAAATAATGAAACAGACTTTGTCATGGTGACAAACCTAAGGATGGATTTCAAAATAGTAAATACCATGGTGAATGGTGATAATAACAATGTAATACTTCTTAAAAGAACTGTTTTAACCAGAAAACTAACCCAACAATTTAAACGAACCGTTATTTACAGCTATAAAGAGAAACTATGCATTTCGGCAGACTACACGTCAGGTGTCAACGTCTGCTAAATGAGAACCTCCAAATCATGCCATATTTATAATGTTACAAACAGTGGCGTGCGGTCATGCAAGCGTAGGCAAGCGCCGCTTGCCTAAGCATTTTACCGAACAAAAATTTTTTGGATCAATCTCTGAGCAAAATCAGTTTAAATTTTTCTGTTCTAAACAATGTCAATGTAATCTTTTGTCTAAATTGTCTTTACAGTTGAAATGCTTGCTATTTATACGCGATTTACTGTCGTGGTTTTCGGTTTAACTTTGCAACACTTGTAAGATCAGTCAAGTGGATTAAATACACCTTAAAAATTTCTTATTTATTAACCAATGCAAGCGCGCTTGGGTCGGCACTAGATCATGGTCAACTAACGTACGCGCCCACATATTATTCTTATTATGTCAGCGGTAAGTAACAATTGACGAATATTCATGTATTCATTATGCGAATGATTTTACCGCACTACATATGGCAATAAGGCAAATTGGCAATAGCGAAAGCGAGAAAAGATTACAAAGATTTCAATTCAATTTTGGTCAGATGTACTTTCTTTGAAATGTCTGCCTTGCAGAAGTAATGGATTGATAGTATTTTACAATACAATAACCGCACTTCAAGAATTGCAAATTCACTGGACCTAAGGTGAACAATGTGATGTTATAAAGTAGAAATCGACTCTATTTGTATTATAGATATGATATTAAATATTTTCCTGTTATTTGTAGTACTAATAAAAATTATTATAGATGATAAACACACCCATCTAGATTCGTATCTTCAAATTTTTTTCAAAACTTCCTGCATAATAATATAAAGTTTGTGTTTTTAATGTGTTTGACTGTTAGTCCATACTTGCTTGTAAATTTCTGATTTGAGTTAATGTGCAGGTGTGGTAACTTTTTTAACTTTGTTAAAGTTATTCTCAGGAAATTTAGAAAACTCATTGTCTCCAGCAGTGCCATCCACACAGTGAACCACAATCTAACTTAAGTGCTCATTAAATGAAATGGATAGTTTTCAATAGAGCATATTGATTTATCACGAAAAATTGATAGGTAATCATAGTACAGGTGCAGCCAGATTGAATGTTGAGTTGTGATATCAATCACAGTAGCTAATTCATATATGTTCCCGAAAATACTTTAAAACAAGAAATGGTAACAATATATCTTAACATGTAACACTGGGTATTCTCTACATTCATCTCTGGCAAAAATTTTCACATTGAATCTCTGAGCACCAAAATAAATTCTATTATGGAAAAACAGATTGTTCAGAAAAACCTTTGAGCATATAATTCCTTCCGTTGTCAAAGGGTTTTTCGAACAGTTTAAAAGGCTCCCACCTGCTTTTGTTATGCTTGTGGCATAGACCCAGTGCTGTAGAACATAACTTGCCTTAGATGCAACTCTCTCAAATAGTGAAATGTAATTGTAAAAAGTCATTGCATGATGTCATAGTGTTTGCAAATAATATTACCACTTAACATGAACAAGTTTCTTTATCAATTTTGTAAACTAAAAATCTTTGTCAAGTTGGGGTGCTTTGTGCTCTGCAATGACCATCCATAATTTCATGAAGAATGCTCGACTTCCATGCAACCACCTCCCAAACAGCATTGAATGCACCATTTCTTGATTTTATGGTCATATGAGAAGATACAATGGCATTTGGCTAAATGTTTTTCGAGCAACAAAAAATTCATATTTTCCTACATTGTAAAATGGCAACTTGCCATACGTATATTCTATGAGAATCTAAACATAAAAAGCGTGGGAAATCATGGAATTGTTGCCAAATGCTAGTTCGAAAATGGAGTTTCCAATGAAGTATGCGGAGAGTGAAGCAAAAAACAACAGCAGTTTAGACGAAGGTATTGTAATATGCCATTCCAAAGAAGAAATGCTGGAAATATTCGGTTATTATAAAAAACAAACTCGCAGTGGGTGGTGCTGTCTCAACAGAAATAAATTCATAGGTATATATTATATAATAACTTCAATGCAGAAAGCATACGCTTATCCAGAGATATACTACTTTTTGGTTATTGTGCAATGGTGAAGAAAGAAATTTCACAAAATTTCATACACATATTAAAGCAGAACTTTTGTTTAAATTTTAAATATTAAAGCATGATAACATGTATGAACCGAATACTTAATGATGACATGTATGAACCAAGTACCTAATGATGACATGTATGAACCAACTATTTAATGATGACATGTATGAACCAACTATTTAATGATGACATGTATGAACCAACTATTTAATGATGACATGTATGAACCAAATACTTAATGATGACATGAATGAACTGATGTAAGTGTTTAATAGACAAGACTACAGACGAAATACTCGCTGAGAAAGGTTCATTTGAAAGTATTACCCAAGCAATTCAATGTCACAATATTGGTCACCACTGGATGGTTTCTACATCCATAACTGGTGAAATAGTAGTCTTTGAATCTATGAGTATCAACCTGAATTCATCATTAAAAAGGCAACTCCAGAATGTTTAGAAAAACCTCCAAGAACAGGATGGTTTTTTAAACGTCAAAATGATTCTCCAACAACGTCAAAAAGGATCATCAGATTATGGTCTTTTTGCTGTGGCAAATGCTGTTGCTTTGGCTAATGGTGTGAACCCTTGCTCTGTTACCTGGCTGCAGGAGAAGATGCGAGTGCATCTGGTCAAATGCTTTGAAGAACAAAAAATCGAGATGTTTCCCCATATTGAGAATGCAATGCAAACCTGCCATTCAAAAAATTATATTCTGTGAGAAAATAGTAATTGTAAGCATCTAACATAAAAATAATCATGTATCGCTTCATTTTTGCTTGCAAACATGTACACTGTAATTGCTCAAATTGGAACACCTTGACAAATCATGCATGTATATATCTGTAAATAATATTAAACAAAATTAACATTTTCTATTTGTGAATCATGGACATGGTATTTATTTTTACAACTAACTGGGGACATATAACTAATGCTGTCTACAAAATGTAGAAATAATAAATTTACCTTATAAATTTTACAGAGTTGTGTAGTGAGCCCGGAAGATAATTTGGTCGTGTTATGTAAATTTGATATTATTATCAATAAACATTTCTTTAGAAATCTGTTGTTTTTACAGTTAGTGAACAAAGAAATAATTGTATAGTAGAGCAAAATAAAACGGGCTGGATACGCCACTGTTACGTTCATTGTATATTGTTCATTGCTTCTTCGAGTATCGTTATGATGATTTAAAATCGTTGAGCATATGACAATATATGTAAAATACAAAGAATACAAAACAATAGATGTGTAAAATAGTAAAACTATCCAAACCTGAAATCGAAAAACGAATTCTTCTCGTCATTTAGCCGCATATCGGTTAAATACGCATATGAAACTTGTGTAGTGACGTACATAACGTGCGTACATCACTCATCTAGATTCGTGTATTAGCAATAGAGGAAATAGCCAATCCTACACTTACTCAAACGCGCTACTTAAACTTACGCACTTAACTTTATAATTACGTAAAACTACTCAAGTTTCAAGTACATTATCCGCTGTGTAATAACTGCACCTTCTTTAACCAAATGTATAAAAAGCCTGTAAATAAATTCTAACAGATAGAACTCTCACGACTGTTGTAAATAACTTCTTCGCTAGTGAATAAAATAATCACAAAATTTAATAGCGTTCTAGTACATTGAACTCACGTTCAGAGCTCATACGAAAGACTTATATATAACGCTAAACTTGTTATTCTCAATGGTTATTCTATATTTTAGTGGTTTGTCACAGCTTATAGGTAATTACCAATGGTAATTACATAACATGAATATTCGTCAATTGTTACCGCTGACATAATAAGAATAATATGTGGGCGCGTACGTTAGTTGACCATGATCTAGTGCCGACCGCGCGCTTGCTTTCGGAGCTCAATCTGAACATTTGCGCATGCGTTAATCTAGATTTGGAGGCTTCTTATTCGAGGAATATCGAGAAAAGGCAAGCGGCGCTTCTAAGGGCGCCGCTTGATAGCGATTGGTCAACAGTCTTGTACGCTCGCAATTTTAAACACATATCAGCGCGCGAATAATATTCGTATATTCAACACATTGGATATCCGAATTATTCACGCCGTTAATGTTATCGTTTATTAAAAGGTGGCTGAGAGCGAAAGGTAATGTTCTGATTTCTAATTCAAATAGTAGGTGCTTTACTGGTTATTTTATCATTTTCTGCACACAATGTGCGTAAACAAGCAGGGGCCGCAGTCTGCAGATATATCGAAATGCAGGCAAACGTGTGTTGTGGTAAAGTATGACTAGCATTATGACCAAAACACTATGCTCTTGAAAGTCTTGTGTCGTTGAATTCGTAAATTAATGACTAAAAATAAAAGGTACAAGATACTAAATATTAAACACGACTCTCCGACATTCTGAAACGTACGAGTCAGTGCCAGACACATTTTGAAGAACGGGAGAACACGTTGCCATGACGTCATTATACCAAAATATAAACATTAAACAACGTCATGGCCTCAGTTTGTAACACACCGTGCCAATTTTGTGCGCGAAACTGGCTGTTCTTAATTGTTATAATCACGACTGCTACAATACATTTCGCGCCTATTGTCTTGCAATTTATGTATGTAGAAGATATTATCTGTAGCATGTAATACAAGATTATGATATTGACAAGAGCTTCCTTTTGCGTAGTAGTTTTGATATTTGTATCCGGTAGATTTTAGCGTTATATATAAGTCTTTCGTATGAGCTCCGAACGTGAGTTCAATGTACTAGAACGCTATGAAATTTTGTGATTATTTTATTCACTAGCGAAGAAGTTATTTACAACAGTCGTGAATGTTCTATGTGTTAGAATTTATTTACAGGCTTTTTATATATTTGGTTAAAGAATGTGCAGTTATTACACAGCGGATAATGTACTTGAAATTTGAGTAGTTTTACGTAATTATAAAGCATAATATCATTCAGAGTAAGCAGTTCGATATTGTCTTCTGTGTCACGAAAGTTCGCGAGACGAAAGATAAGATTCAAGAACAACGAACAAAATTCGTAGATTATTGGAATTTTACGTCAAGTATCGTCAAAGTAGCACTGAAATGCGGGCAAATTGAAAAGGATGTAAAGGCGTCCTTCCGTCAAATGTTTTTCTGTGTAGTCGATACCATTGTCGTGCAGATTGACTCTAGATTCGAAAGTCTTAATGCATGAGTCAATTCCAAGCGTTACCACCCCCCCCCCGGGATACCCCTGGGCATTTGCCCTGGAGACCTTTCTCGGGGGTCGGGAATTTGCTCGTAAAAGAGATGCTCGGGAGCCGGGTATTTACTCCGGCAGTAATACCCCCGGGGATTTGATACCATTTGAGTACGCGAGTCGCGACTATTGATTTCTATTAATCGCGACATTAAGTACCGATTCCCATCTCCTAGTATCCAGACGGACCATCGTGTAGTTTTTTCCTTACCCAGTTTCTGATGTAAAGAGACCTTGGGGAGGGGAGAATTGCGAAACATGCACGGGAGTTTGCTATGGGCATTATGTCACCGATGTGTCAGAGCTGCTAAATTTATATGCAGTTGGCAAAATTATAAGGAGCCAGCTGCCGTCTGAAATACTGGCAGACTTTCACAAGAATCACAGTGGTGGATGTGTAGAGGATACTGACATAAGCATGCTTGCCAAGAAATATTTGCTATCAACCAAGGATGTTAAATTGTGGTTTCAATACTTGACGCAAATTTCTGTGAACAGGAAGAGGTGCTGGAAAAGCAAAAGCAACAACAGAAAAGCGGAGCAAGGGAAAGTAACTCAGGAAAAAATTTCTATTACTACATTTATTTTTTATAGGATCTCTCATATATCTTGTTTAATAAAGTATTAAAAAAGTGTTCATAATTTTCGTAATTTAAAATTAATTGGTCCCGGAGCGGGGCATTTGCCATTGGCAGCTTGCCCGGGGACTGAGTATTTGCCTTCTTGCCTTTCCCCGGCACCCAGGAAATTGAACTATTAAAACGAAAAAAATCAAATGCCCGGCCATATTCTCGGGGATGGTAACTCTTGGAATTGACTCATGCATAACAGCAGAGCATTCGCTTCTTTGTTGGATCATTCAAAGCACGAATTGTACAGCCGGAATTTTCCCGAACGAGAGCTGCAATCGTTGCAAGATTCATATGGAACATTCTTTAATTATCAAATATTAAAAAGTGAACTAATCGTTGTATACGCCTCTGCCGAGCTCAAATCGAAACCTGTTTTTGATATGATATCAAAAATAATCGAACTTGACTTGAAAGCCTGTTTTCCAGAGGTGTACCGATTGTGTCAGCTCATTCTTACTATGCCAAGTACGTCCTCTGCAGAAAGATCATTTTCGGCTCTCAAGCGTATCAAAACGTATCTTCGCATTTCACAAGGGCAAGAGGGACTTTCTGCATTGGCTACAATTTCAATCGAGAAGCAGATGTTGGTAAGTTTGAAGGGGAAGCCACGATTCCATGAGGACGTTATAAAGGAGTTTTGCACAAAGGAAAGACTGATGGAATTTACATTTGAGTAAATCTGTTGTAGGATTTTAGACTATTTCGTTCTGTTACTTCTTCACTACAATAGAAATGCACGGGTAGCCATTTACTTAAAACGACTTTATATCACAATACCACATGTAATACTTTTAAACCGTAATTGTGATATATACTCTATAAAAGTTTTTGAATTTTTTAGATTTTTTCAATACTGTTTCAGTCATGACCGATACATTTTTTTCGACAAAGTACTCCCAGAAATCGCGGGAAATGCGCTCCAGTAGCCTTCAAAATCCAAAAATTTTCTGGGGGAGCATGCCCCCAGACCCCCTAGATAGGTTCGCGGCAAGCCGCGAACCTCACCCCCAGCGCTTGCCTATTAAATTTGGTCACCGCACGCCACTGGTTACAAAACGTCCTTGTCATCCCTATTTTTAGAGATGACACCTAAAACAGACACAGATTAAACACGTAATTCTTTTGTCGGCAAAGTACAAGATAAGTCAATTTATTTAATATCGACTCCATGACGCGTAGCTGGAATAACGAGCGACATTTTTTGATAATTTTAAAGTTTTCATCACAATAAGCATTGGCACATCGAGTGTTGCTTAAATATGTTTTCCAATCGC